TGCATTTTGGGAGATAAGGTAAGAAATAACAGTTTAGTAATAAAATTAAAAAATAAATATTGTTATAAATAATAAAATTTTTTAGAAATTTCAATATATATAAGGCTATTATATCTGATCAAATGCACACCTTGGATCTTGGCCTCTTTAAGTATATGATTAATTATACTAAAAAGCTTTTATATAAACAATGTGAAAGCAAAGTTTTCAAACCTTTGAACAATAATTAATCTTGATTTCATAATATTCTGGTTTGAAAATAATTAAGAATATGTCAGATATTATATGCATAACAGCTGGTAAATTGCAAAATGTAATGAAAATAGTTATTTTTATACTAGATAATTTATTTAAGAATTATAGAAGACCAGAAATTAGTAATAAACAGCTATGCCAAGTCTATTACAAATTTCTTCAAATGTATATTGCCATTTGTGAAGAATTATTTACTTATGATTCTTGCAATAAGCTTCAAATATAAAGCAAATAAATAATTAGCTTTTTATAAAATTTGATTACTAATGATTATTTTCATAGACTTACATTATGGAGTAGGGCAGAGAATTTGTTGAAATATTTTTAAAATATAATCCAAGTGGTCTTCAGCTTTCAAAACTCTATGCTTAGTACTATTATATAGTGCTGATAATTCAAGAATACAGATCAATAAATAGTATGATTACATAAACTTATGAATCCCTTTAAAAGAATTATATAAAAGAACTCTATCACATGTTAAATAAAAAAAACTATATAAAACAAATATTAAAAATAGTAGTTATAATTATTCCAAATAATCATTATTAATCATTAACATGCACAATTATTATTTTCAGATTAAGTAACAGAAGTTAACTAAAAAAAAAGTTCACAAGAGGTATTGCTGTATTAAAGAGTTTAGAAAAACTTTGTGGTCACTAAATTTAAAAGGTCTAGATAATTTTCTCGAGAAAAATAAAAATAATTTAGATCTATTATAAGTTGAAGACTTTCAAAACCTTTTAACTGGTCTTGACGAATTTTTTGATAAGAAATCAATCATGTCTATTGATGAGAATAATCGTATAGAAATATTTTCTTCTGTGTCATTAGAAAGTATGAATATAATTTGTACTATGTTAAGTTTTTATGGTGTCCTAATGTTTTTAAACATTATTGTTAGTAGCAGTAATGAAGAAGAAGTAATATATTAGTATGGATTAGTAAATATAGTTTAACTTTAATTTTATTTGCGTATTATCATAATTATGCATTTACTAATAAAAACAATTAATAATGATAATAAGCAAAATAATTTTCAAAATTAGAAGCATATTTAATATATTTTTATCTAGCTTCGAGAGTACTAAATCTATACTAATATAAATGTTATATATTAAGTATTGTTAATACTTAAGTTCGACCAAGTAGATAAAGAACCACTTGAATTCACTTTAGTTTGCTGATATGAGAAAGTTGGTAAATTATAAGGATGTTCTAAATTAAAATTACTTAAACAATATAGTTGTATACCATTAGATAATATAGATAGAACAGTTCATATAATCTCAAGATATAATAAAATGAATGAATACTTAATGAATATTTTTATGTTTTAATATTATATTAAAGGGTATATCAATATTTAAAATGTTCTAAATTTGAAAATGTATTTTGTAATATATATTTATTGATTGATAATAATGTGACAAAAATTATGACGATTAAAATAGATTCGATAACAATTGATAACTGTATTTTATCGATTATTACCTTATTATCAATTTGTATTAATATTTAATATATATCAAGAATAAACCTGTTTATTGATATATATCATTAATTTTCAAACAATATATATCGATTAAATGCTATATATTGATTAATTTCTATAAAAAAAATTTCATGATGGATGTAAACACTAAATAAGTTCTTGTAATCATATAAATTTATTAAAATTAAATAATAAGAAGTCTATTTGAGAAGATCTAAGTAGAGAGATAGCTAAATCTTTAATAATCTTATTGTAAAGACTAGTTCAAAAAAATGGATACCAAAATTATAGTACCTAATTGTAATAGTCAGACAGACAAGAACCTTCAAATTAGGAGTCTTGAAAATACTACTAACCAAATCATCAAAATGAACTGAAAGAAAAGAATATTAGACCAATCTAATATATTAATAAACTGATTGTAATCTTACACAAGCTATCTGAATTAGGAGTTTGGTAAAAAAAACAAATAAAAAGACAAAAGTATACTAAAATATTAGAATTATGTTATGAAATAGATGCTAAGGTCTAAATAAACTCTACAAGAACAGAATAGTTTAATAATTAAATCCTAATTATAAATGTTAGTTCTGTCATAATAATATATAAATTAACTGTAAAAATAAATACAGAAGACTCTGAAAGGTTTACTTTAAAAATAAAATAATTCTAAGATTAAGATGATAATCTAAGCATCAAGTATAACCTAGTGAAGTTAACAAGTTTGCAGGTTTAGAAGATTAAAGTAAAATATCCAAACAAGAGTATTAAGAATAGCAATTAGTGAGGATGATGATTCTAGTGTAGTAGTTGGGTTGTTATCTTTCAAGTGGCAGGTCTAAGGTTGAAATCCCACCTATGACAAAATTTGGAAATTAATCTGTATTATGGCAAACTGTCTCTTGACGATCAGTTAGATTTGTGTATCTATAACCTTAAGTCGCACTATCACGAATGGGAGCTCAGGACATCTATGCCAAATGTAATGTTACATGTACATAGAGGAATGTTAATAACCGGTGTCACATAAGACTTCAGTGCAAACCCATGATAAGACCACTGGGTGCAGTAAACTAAGGAACCAAAGAGTCAAAAATCTACTTGAAAATTCCCAACTAAAAAGATAACATGAACTTTCGACAGTACGGTCAGACTGATAGAAGCTCATGAAACATCCCCAAAGGGATAGGCGAATAAACCAGATGTCAAGATGTGTAGAGGAGCATATGACCAACCAGATCGCTGGAATCACTAAAGGAAAAGGATATATAAATATACCATACTGGGCTATCTGGATTGGAAGTCAGGAGAGTCCTGTAGGTTTTGAGTAGCAGTTAGTAAGGGATAATAGAGAAAACATCATGATGATAGGTACTGGAGTTCTAGTGAACTTTACAAGAGTAGAAATAGTATAACGTAATGGTTAAACAGATAACTCCTATGACTGCAAGTATTAGGTAACTATAGTGTGTTGCATAAAACTAAATCAGCTGTATGTGAAACACAGAAGATTCTAGTAAGTTTCTGTCAAGGATAAACTAATCCTAAAGGTACTTGAAGGCATCAGGTACTTTGGATAGGTGTAGCCTTGAAGATGTCCCTGTGAGACATAATAGACTACATATGCAGAGAGTTTAAATAGGCAAGACTTATAGTTGGCTTGCAGATATGACACCTAGTGTAGAACCTGTATAGTAATGTATAGGCAGACTACTTAAATTAGGCACCAAAAGTACACGTGTAGCTAGTTGTAACCTTCAATGTAAGGGAACCCTTGAAGGCATCCAAGTCCAAATACATGAATAAAAACATCAACTCCTATAGATAGGGATTTTAATTCAAAAAAAAAAAAAAGAATAGCAATTAGTAAAGAACCTTTAAACGGACTTCTTAAATAGGTAATATAGAAAAGTTACACATGTAACTAATTGTACGCTCTTTCTGTAATGGTTCACTGAACCACATTTATTATTGTTAAATAAAGTTAAAAGACCTAAGAAATCATCTTAATACCAAAAAAAAAACCTTTTACCATTAATATTTAAAAAAAATAAATAAAACTTTAAGACAAACTACTTAAATAGGCAACCAAAAGTTGCACACGTGACTAGCTGTACTCTCATCACTGTAAAAAAAATTGTAATATTAACTTCAACATGTTAATAAAAGAACTGTTATAAAATATAATTTTTATTAATTAAAAAAATAAATAAATAAAATAATATTATTATTAAAGAACATGTAACTTCTTATTAAAAACTTTTTTAATAAAGTTTTTATACTTATAAATTGTTATTATAAGTTTGGTAAAGAGTTTATTCTTCCAAAGAAGAAAAATAATATAAGTTATGCTTGTTAATTGGGATGTAGTTTAATGATTATCTATCTGTAAATATCATGTTATGAAAAATCACGTGCTTTCCCGAAAGATACAAAAGTTCCCTGATAACTAATTTACGAAAATACTAACACTTATAAATATTACGTTTTTTAATCCCAAACAACTGCTATGGCTGAACATCTTGCTAGAGGGAATCAATATCAATACACTGCCAATTCTAATCTTGTTCTTCAGGCTAATAGATCTGAACTACCACGCAGAGATCATGAGCCTTCAGGAGAGCCAGAGTCCTTATGGGGTAAAATTAATCCAAAAGATTTTGGCACTAGAGCTCAAAGGGATACTGTAAAAAATTTGCAAGCTAAAAAGACAAAGGCCCTGAAATCTGCTGATGCTGAAGAAAGAAAGAATCGACGAAAAGAAGAAAAGTTAGTATATATACATACTTTTTGTATTTGATCCTTAAAATTTACTCTAAGATTAACTCAATTTCTTAATTTTGTAGCGCGTTAAAGAAGGCATATGGTTATTCTAATGTTCTTGCTGCTACTGAATATTTTGATGGCTTGTCTTATAGACCAAGAACAAAAGAAACACGTGAAACTTACGAATTAATTTTGGCCTTTGTTCACCAAAATCTTGGTGATCAGGCACAAGACGTGATTCGAAGTGCTGCTGATGATATTTTACAAGTTTTAAAAGATGATAAACTTAAAGATTTTGATAAAAAAAAAGCAATTGAAAATGTTATTGGGGCTATAACTTCTGATCGGTTTGCCCAATTGGTAAACCTTGGAAAAAAAATTACAGATTATTACTCTGGTGATCAAATGGACTTGGATAAAGATAATGAACTCGCTGGTGAGATTGACGATGAATTAGGTGTAGCAGTTGTATTTGATGATGAGGAAGATGATTATGAGGATGAATACGGAAAATATGAAGTAGAGTCTGAAGAAGAGGAGGATGAGGATGGTGTAGAAGCTGAAACTACAGGTGTCTTGGGTGTGGGCCAAATTGATGATGAAGAAAAAGGTTCCATGTCAGATGAAGATAATGAAGGTTTTCGAACTGTTATTGGTCCAGAAACGACAAAATCAAAGAAAATAGTTGGTTCACAAGACGTGCAAAAAGTAACTCCACACGATATAGACGCTTTCTGGCTCCAACGTTTAGTGTCAAATTATTATTCTGATCCACATACAGCACAAGATAAAACCACCAAAACTTTACAAATTCTTGAGTCTGGTATTAATACACGAGATTGTGAAAACGAGTTAATGAACTTATTCGATTATGATAAATTCGATCTTGTTAAAGTTTTAACTAGAAATAGAGAATTAATTTTATGGTGTACAAAACTCGCTAAAGCTGGTACAGAGGGTGTAGAGCGACAAAATGTCGAACATGAAATGCGAGAACGTGGATTAGAATGGATTCTTAAAGATCTTGGTGGTGAAAGAATTCGTCGAGGTGAAGGCGCTGCACGGAAAGGTGTAGTCGAGGATGCAATGGAAATTGATGAAAAGCCAGCTATTGCGCATGGTCCTGTGCCTGCGGCTGTTAAAGCTACATTACCTCCCACTACAGTAGTACCAAAAAATGTAATTGACCTTGAATCTTTGATGTTTACGCAAGGTGGACATTTAATGTCTAATAAAAAGTGTAAGCTTCCCGATGGATCATTTAAACGTTCTATGAAAGGATACGAAGAGATCCATGTGCCTGCACCTAGGCCAAAACCCTTCGCTGATGATGAAAAACTCTTTTCGATTAGTGAATTGCCTGAATGGACGCAAGCAGCCTTTAAAGGTGCAAGAACGCTCAATCGTATTCAAAGTAAGCTCTATCCGGTTGCATATGGTGGAGACGATAATTTATTACTCTGTGCTCCAACTGGATCAGGTATTTATAATTTCATTATTTCAAAACTGTATATTGTATTTTTTATTTTTTTTATTTTTTTTTTATAATTAAAAATCATGTTATTAGGTAAAACTAATGTTGCCATGCTTTGTATTCTCAATGAAATCAACAAGAATCGTGATGAAGAAACTGGCATCATCGATAACGACGCATTTAAGATCGTATATATTGCGCCGATGAAAGCTCTTGTGCAAGAAATGGTTGGAAATTTTTCATCAAGACTTCAACCCTTTGGTATTAAAGTTTCAGAGTTGACTGGTGACCGACAACTTACTAAGCAACAGATATCTGAGACTCAAATAATAGTCACAACACCAGAAAAGTGGGATGTAATAACAAGAAAAGCCACAGATCGGAGCTATACAAATCTCGTTAGACTAATCATCATTGATGAAATACATTTACTTCATGATGATCGTGGTCCAGTTATAGAAAGCATTGTTTCCAGAACTATTCGTCATATGGAGCAAACACAAGAAATAATTCGATTAGTGGGTCTTTCAGCAACGCTACCTAATTACGCTGATGTGGCCAGCTTTTTACGTGTAAATCCAGAAAAAGGCTTGTTTCATTTTGATAGTACTTTTAGACCATGTCCTTTAAAACAAGAATTCATTGGAGTGACTGAAAAAAAGGCCATCAAAAGATTTCAGGTTATGAATGAAGTAACTTACACTAAAGTTATGGATCAAGCTGGTAAAAACCAAGTGTTAATATTTGTACATTCACGTAAAGAAACTGCAAAAACTGCGAAAACAGTTCGAGATATGGCATTAGAAAAAAATACGATCGGTCAATTTCTACGAGAAGATTCAGCTAGTCGCGAAATTTTACAAACTGAGTCTGCAACTGTCAAAGATGCAAATCTTCAGGACTTGTTACCTTATGGATTTGCGATTCATCATGCTGGTATGACAAGAGCAGATCGTACTTTGGTAGAAGAACTATTTGCAGACGGACACATCCAAGTTCTTGTTTCTACTGCTACTCTGGCTTGGGGTGTAAATTTACCTGCGCATTCGGTCATTATAAAGGGTACACAAATATATTCTCCTGAAAAAGGCCGTTGGGTTGAATTAAGTCCCCAAGATGTACTTCAAATGCTGGGTCGGTCTGGTCGTCCTCAATTTGATACGTTTGGTGAGGGCATAATAATCACATCACATACAGAACTCCAATATTATTTGTCTCTTTTGAATCAACAATTGCCCATAGAAAGTCAATTCATCAGTAAATTGGCTGATAATTTGAATGCGGAAATAGTTTTAGGTACTGTTCGAAATCGTGATGAGGCAGTACAATGGTTAGGATATACATACCTGTACATAAGAATGTTACGTAATCCAGCATTATATGGCATCTCTCTGGATCAATTGGACGAAGATTCCTATCTTGAACAAAAACGTGTCGATTTGATACATTCCGCCGCTTTATTTTTAGACAAATCTAATTTAATAAAATATGATAAAAAGACTGGCAGATTTCAGGTAACAGAATTAGGTCGAATTGCTTCGCATTTTTATATTACACATACATCAATGGCAACCTATAATCAACACCTGAAACCAATGATGGGTCATATTGAATTATTTCGAGTATTTGCACTTTCCGACGAATTTAAGTACATACCAGTACGTGAAGAGGAGAAGCTAGAGTTGTCAAAATTGTTAGAACGTGTACCGATCCCCGTTAAAGAAGGCATTGAAGAACCGACTTCTAAAATAAATGTTCTTTTGCAAGCCTACATTTCACAACTCAAACTGGAAGGTTTCGCTTTAGTTTCAGACATGGTTTACGTAACTCAGTCAGCAAGTAGAATTCTCAGAGCTATGTTTGAAATCTGTCTCAAGCGTGGTTGGTCACAATTATCGAGAAGGGCTTTAGATTTATGTAAAATGGTAGAGAAACGCATGTGGCTCTCAATGTCACCTTTACGCCAGTTCAAGCAAATCTCTTCGGAGGTTATCAAAAGAATTGAAAAAAAAGATTTTCCTTGGGAAAGATACTTTGACCTTAATCCTCAAGAAATAGGGGAACTAGTTGGTATTCCAAAAGGTGGCAAAACTATATATAAATATGTGCACCAATTTCCCAAACTAGAATTGCAAACTTTCGTGCAACCCATTACTAGGTCGTTGTTGAGAGTTGAGCTCAAAATTACACCGGATTTCCAGTGGGAAGAACAAGTTCATGGGACTGGGGAGGCGTTTTGGGTATTGGTTGAAGATGTGGATGGAGAGGTAATTTTATATCACGATTCCTTTATTCTCAAGCAAAGATATGCTGAGGAGGATCACATAATAACATTCACAGTCCCGTTGTTTGAGCCTCTTCCACCTAACTACTTTATATCCGTGATAGCTGATCGATGGTTACATTGTGAAACAAAATTACCCATTTCTTTCAGACATTTGATACTGCCAAAAAAGTATCCACCTCATACTGAATTGCTTGATTTGCAACCCTTACCCGTTACAGCTTTGCGTAATCGCGAGTGCGAAGCCGTATATAGTGAATGGGTTGATAAGTTTAATCCTATTCAAACACAAGTATTCAATGCATTGTATAATTTAGATGACAATGTGTTTGTTGGTGCTCCTACTGGAAGTGGAAAGACTGTGTGTGCCGAATTTGCACTTCTTCGTTTGTGGTCGAGGCCAAACCCTGGAAGATGTGTTTATATTGCACCATTCCAAGAGGTTGTTGATCTTCAATTGATCGAATGGAGGCAAAAATTTGGTAAAATACAAAAAAATATAGTATCGCTTACTGGGGAGACAAGTGCAGATCTTAAATTGTTAGAAAATGGTGACGTGATTTTTGCAACACCTACTCAATGGGATGTTATGTCTCGTCGATGGAAACAACGAAAAGCCGTTCAGTCAGTAGCATTGTTTATTGCTGATGAATTGCATTTAATAGGGAGCGATGTTGGACCAACCTACGAAATTATTGTATCACGAATGCGCTATATTGCTCATCAAACAAAAAACCCGATTCGCATTGTTTGTTTGAGTACATCTCTAGCCAATGCTCAAGATCTTGGTGAATGGATAGGCGCAACACCGCATACTATTTTTAATTTCCATCCCAGTGTTCGTCCCGTACCTTTGGAGATCCACATTCAGAGTTATAATATTCCACATTTTGCTTCACTGATGATGGCGATGGTCAAACCTACTTACGCCGCGATCACTGCATATTCATCTGATCGACCCGCTATTGTATTTGTACCGTCGCGTAAGCAATGTCGTTTAACTGCCGTTGATTTGCTCACATATTGCGCAGCTGATGGGGTAACAGACCGCTTTTTACATGCACATTTTAAGGATGTAGAAAGTCTCTTGGAAAATGTCAAAGACGAGGCTTTAGCTGAGACTCTCCGTCATGGAGTTGGCTTTTACCATGAAGCACTCGGAAAACAGGACAAGAAAATTGTGGAACAATTATTTGAAAGCGGAGCAGTTCAAGTTGTTGTCGCATCGCGCGACACTTGTTGGGGCTTGAATCTGAGTTGTCATATGGTTGTCATTATGGGTACACAATATTTTGAAGGTAAAGAACACCGATATGCAGATTATCCAATAACAGATGTACTTCAAATGATGGGTAGAGCTTGTAGACCACGTCAAGATGATACAGGTCGTTGTGTATTAATGTGTCAGGCTATCAAAAAAGATTTTTATAAAAAATTTTTGTATGAAGCCTTGCCTGTGGAATCACATTTAGATCATTTCTTACATGATCATTTTAACGCCGAAATAGTTACAAAAACTATTGAAAATAAACAAGACGCTGTAGACTATCTTACATGGACATTTTTGTACCGTCGTATGGTAGAAAATCCAAATTATTATGGCATGCAGGGTTCAGATCATAGACATTTATCGGATCACTTATCTGAACTAGTGGAAACAACAGTAAATGACCTCGCTGCTTCAAAATGTATTATGCTTGAAGATGAATTGGAGGTTTCACCACTTAACTTGGGCATGATAGCAGCTTATTATAACGTCAGTTACATTACGATTGAAATGTTTAGCATGAGTTTGAATGAAAAAACAAAACTCAGAGGACTTTTAGAAATTATTTCTTCTGCTGCAGAATTTGAATCTATTCCTGTTAGACATCATGAAGATACCGTTCTCAAGAAAATATATGATCGTCTCCCAGTCAAGCTCGGTAATCCTAAATTTAATTCCCCACATATTAAAACAAATGTTCTTTTACAAGCACATTTTTCAAGAACACAATTGCCACCAGACTTACAATCTGATCAAACTACTGTTTTGGGAAAGGTTAGTTATCTATAAATTATAATAATCATATCTTTTAATCGTACTAAATACACCCTTTCTGATATCATAGGTTATTCCCTTGATCCAAGCAGTTGTTGATGTAATAAGTTCTAATGGGTGGCTAAATCTTGCATTGTCAGCCATGGAACTGGCACAAATGAATGTTCAAGCAATGTGGGATCGAGACTCTCCGTTAAAACAGATTCCATATTTTACCTCCGAAGTCATTAAGCGATGTGAAGATCAAGGTGTTGAATCCGTTTTTGAATTTATGGAGCTCGAAGACGATGCTCGCAATGATATACTACGTATGGACGTGCGACAATTGCGTGAGGTTGCTCGCTTTGTTAATCGGTATCCAAGTATTGATGTTAAATTTTCTGTGAGAGATGAAGACGAGCTCGTTTCAGGCTCTCAGGGCATGTTAGACATTAAACTTCAACGTGAAGTCGAAGATGATGACGAGGAATCTGTAGTCGGACCAGTTATTGCGCCGTTTTTCCCTCATAAAAAGGATGAAGGATGGTGGATTGTTATCGGTGACACTTCTAAAAACTTGTTACTTGGTATTAAGCGTATCACTTTGAATAAATCGCTAAGTGTGAAATTGGACTTTACTTGTCCTTCAGAAGCTGGCGAACACCTTTTAAAAATTTATTTTATGTCAGATTCGTATATGGGATGTGATCAAGAGTTTGATCTTCAGATAACAGTTCAAGAAGGTGCTGATGATAGTGAAGAAGAGTAATGGTTATGGTGGATTAGAAATTTTGTATAATATCTATAGAAAATGTGTTACACCAACAATTTAACCAAAATAAAATTTATAATAAAACAATTTATAACTTAAGGATAGAATTTATATAGATTATTTTTTATGAGCTGTGTGGTATAATGAGTTTTATATAGTAAATAAAAAAGTTACTAATAATAAAACTTTAAAATTTTAATTAATTACAGTTAGACCTTTTTATAGTTACATTTGCTTATAATTATATAAATTTTTAAAACCTACTTATAATAAAATTTAACTTTTATATTGGTACTAACTTTTTATAAGCATTAAAGTTTTAAAACTAAGAGTATAATTATAAAAGGTTCAATTGTATTAAATTTTAATTATTTATATAATTAAATTTTTTATAACTTATTTTGTTAAAACTAATAATTTGTAATAGGTGTAGTGACTTAGTAAAGTGGATAAGTTGTTATACCTTCAAGTGGTAGGATGTGAGTTCAAAACCCACTGATGGTGAAATTTGGATAATCATCTATGTAATATATAAATGATATTATGGTGACAGTATTCTGTCGATCAGTTGAGATAGGATATCTGTAACTATGGTCACACCAGCATGACTGGCAGGTCTGGGTTATTTGTGTAATAGTTATGTGATATTGTCCTTTAAGACAGGGTTTGTGGTTACACAGAGGAATGCAAACCGATACCAGGTGATGCAAACTTAAAATAAGTTTTTGGATTATGTAAATCCATAGAATTGGGAAGTCAATGCTCATTTGGAAATCTAAGCAAAGAGGTAACATGGATCTTTGACAATACTACTGTAAAAACTAGACCTAGGAAATAGATACCAATGTGAAGGACTCAGGCAGGCAAGAACCTCGGGTGAGGGTACCACCAATCAGGTTACTGGATTTCAGACTGGAAGAAAAGGATATTGGGTTAGCCTCAATATACCAAGAACAGGTTACAGTCCTTCTGGGCTATCTGAATTGGGAGTCTTGGTTCAAAGCAAAGGTATACTAAAAGTATTAGGAATATGCTATGAAGTCAATACTGGGGTCTGAGTGAACTTTGCAAGGGTAGTCTGTGTTAATGTTCTAAAAGTAAGTAGATAGTTAACAACAGAGGGCCTTCTGTGTCTTACTGGCAAGTGACATACTCTGAAATGTTAACGATCTGAGAACCAGTACAAAAAGGGTAGATAACCATACTGCTCAGACGGTATACCAGTTAGGTATATATGAGGAGTAAGTTTGGAGATTCCAATATAACAGGGCAGATGATCAGAGGGTTTAAATAGATAATCTTCTAGTAGGTTATAGGTACGACACCTAGTGTAGAACCTTAGGGTGGACTACTTAAATAGGCAACCAAAAGTTGTATGTGTGACTAGTTGTACTCTCATCTCTGTAAAAATAGTTGTAATAGCTAACCTATTGTAAGTCAATAAAGTATCGTCGCAAGTATGACCTTTAAAAAAAAAAAATAACTTGTAATAACTAATAAAAAGTTATTATATTTGTTTTATTTCTTAAACCATATTTTAGATAAATTTGCTTAAAAAATAAATTGTTTTTTTTTTTTTTTTAATATTAAGATGAGTACATGCGACCCAGGATTTTACTGATAGTATAAGTTGACCAGCGCCTGTACATGTACAGACACAGAGGCAATTACAGAAAGAGTGTACAACTAGCCACTCATACAACTTTAGTCA